TCTTGCAATGGGGCATGAATCAGTGGAGCGAGTTGGAGAACCACATGACCTCAGTGGAACGGATTCTCGAGTATAAAAAGGTCGAAACTGAGCCTAAGCGAAGAGTCCTCAAAGGTATAAGCGAAAAATGGCCCGATCGGGGGAGCATCACTTTCCAAAATGTATCAATGAAGTATAACAGCTTCGATGGGCCTATTATTAAAAATCTGAACGTGACGATTAAATCCAAAGAAAAAATCGGAGTAGTCGGGCGCACTGGTGCCGGTAAATCATCGACGATTGCGGCATTATTTCAGTTGTACCCTATCGAAGGTTCCATTTTAATTGACGATGTTGATATAACACAAGTGCCCTTAGAGAGGCTACGTAGTAAAGTTGCCATTATTCCACAGGAGCCTTTCCTGTTTTCTGGCAGTATAAGGTACAATTTAGATCCGTTTGAGGAGTACAACGATGATGTTTTGTGGGGCGCTTTAGAGAACGTTCAGTTGAAAGAGGATGCAATAAACTCTGCTTTTGGGTTGTATTATGATGTCATGGAATCGGGTGCCAATTTGAGCGTAGGTCAAAGGCAATTGCTCTGTTTGGCTCGAGCGATAATACGCCATAATAAGATTCTCATCCTTGACGAAGCCACTGCAAATGTAGATCCGCGAACGGATCACTTAATTCAAGAGATAATCAGGGAGAAGTTTGCAGATTGTACGGTGATTACGATAGCGCATAGATTGCAAACGATTATGGATTCGGATAAAGTAATCGTTATAGATTCTGGCGCGATTATCGAGTTTGACTATCCACACCTTTTGTTACAAAATAGCGGCAGTAAATTTTATGGTATGGTGCATGCTACAGGAAAGTCAACTGCTGAAAACCTCCACCGATTAGCAAAAGAAGTAAGTTGGTCCAAATAAAATTACTACACTAATATCAAATTTCAGAGTTATTGTAGGCGCATCCGATCATCAAGTCAGTACTTAAAAGTCAAGCCCTAAACCAACTTTAAGGATATGCGGGACATCTTTTTTACTAACAGGGTTATGTAAAATTTTGTTGGCCAGCCCTACCCTAAGTGTAGGCTTTGAATATAAACTAATTTTATTCAAAGGTGTAGGTATATCGGAAAAAGATATAATGCATAAACTTGTACGGCAAACAATTGTTGTATAATGTTAGCGATTGTTAATGAAGAAAGCAATAAAAACAACATTTGTATTTTCAACTTCGTATCGCAATTTTTTTTGTTAAAAAAACCGATGCAACTGAACGCCGAACGATCCTCGAGATCTTCACGCATCCATCATTTTTACAACACACCTTAAGGGGTTGATTCTGTCCCACCAACGTAGCTTGTAAAATAAATTGTTTGAATCGGCATTAATTTTACTTTTCCTCGAGGTACATTATACCATACGTACAAAATTACATTTCAATACCTTAACAAATAAAAACATTGGATTGCGCAAATACAAAAGTCGGAATCCGCATATTTTTTTGAATCTGCATAGTTGCTTGAGGAATATTTACTGATACAGAAAACCCGGCATTCATAGGTTCTTTGCAACAAAGAATTATACAAGATACCCTTTTTTGGAGGTTCGGGCAATTCTTGGGCTGTAAATTTTTAGCCCGTTAGTCTACGTAGCACCTACGTTTCGTATACCCTTAAGAACATGTGTACCAATTTTCAAAGCGATCAGACGTTTCTAAACAGAGTTATCGTGCGCACGGACAGACAGACGGACAACAGTACAAAATTATAAACGATCTCGAAGATCGTTAATAAGTGGGCACTGATATAGGTACCCAAAAATTCACCTTTCCTCCATAAAATCGAAAATACGCGACGTATTTCGACGAACTTTAAGATTAAAGGTTCTTTACGATCATTTGCCGCATCAATCGACCCAACATTCAATTTAAAATTATGGAAGGGTTAGCAACCCTGCTTAGCGGGGGAGGGATGTAATTTCTAAGTAAAAGATGTCCCCCTTCTAACCAGAATCGCCCTGTTTTTGCGTTTTTTGTTGTTATTTAGTCTGTTTCGTTTTCATTGTGCAACCCTGTATTAATTTCATTAACTCTTTAGCTACCGACCCATTATGGATACTGTAACAGGTTGGCGTTTTAGACTTTAAAATTTTGGTTAAATTTACAAATTGTTGGTATAGGAAATACCGCTTCATTATGAAAGAGAACAGAACTTGTACTGGAGAAATATAAGAGTCGAAATGTTACAGCGTTGCCGGCTCTAACAACCGTCGCGACAGAGCATGCGAGGGGTAATCTCCGCCACAACTTGTGTATAGAAAAACTGCGTGGACACATTGTTTGCGTTGGGTTCGTTTCGCATTTGGATTCGGCGAGATAGTTAAGTAAAAATCTGGTGGGAGAGATTGATTCTTACTGAAATCTTCGAAGAAAATCTATGCTGGTGGAGAGCTACTTTTTTCGATCGCATATTGATTTTTAGCCGAACCGTCGCGTCGGTCGCAAATTTACATGTTGTGTAAAAGAGACTCCTTTGAATTTTTGTATTGTACAAGAATAGGAGTCGGCTATTTTTGGGAATTTTGCATAAGGAATTTGAATTTGAAGTCGATATTATATTCATAACTAGGTCGACTTGCACTGATTTATCCCGTAAACAAATTTGTTGTTCTTTGCCAATCTTATGTGTGGGTTTTGAATTTTCGCATCCAAGAGGTGTGTAATAGTACATTGATCTACAAGGGTTAGTTTTCTAGTGAGTGTAAATGTTTGAATTCACGAGTGAGCGCAGTGGATCAAATTTGCACGAGCATAGAAATTCACTTTTCTTACGTGGAGATCATGCTATTTTTTCGTGTAAGTAGTTGACAAAAATAACTCTAATTATTGAAACGTTTTGTTTTGATGTCGAAGAATAATTTACTATAATATCAAAGTATGTTGAGCATTTGTTGACATGGTAACAAAACATACGAACAAGTAAATAATTTGTGAATAACGCTCATTTAAAATGAGTCAATCAAACGGGAATAATGAAGACATTTTACAATTGGTATTCAATCTCTGAAATATCGGGCCATTCTTGATGATCTTATGATTTACAATATAGTTATTTACATAATAAGTCATAAAAGTGGTCGTTTACATGACTCGGACGCTTATTGAAAAGTACGAGGACGCGCAGCGTCCGATTATCTCTTTAATGCCTCCAAGTCCGCAACATGTAGATAACTCTTCCAAATTAAATTATTCATATGTGTGAAATTTTGATAACTAATCACGCATGCTAAAATCACTTTATTTAATTGTTTCCATAGAGATTTCAATCAGTGTCATTTTTAATGCAGTTTGCAGTTTATGCTTTGTACTTTTCAACTATACAGTCTTTATAACTAGGTACAAAAGCAGGTATCTTCTATGATTTTTTCATTCCACCTCCTCGTTTCTCCTCGGAAATCTATCTGACGTTCTCGGTACGTTTCCAACATATTCATTAGGTAGTGGAGTCTATCTTTGATACCGCTTTGGAATGTTTTCATTTGCCCTCCTTACTGCTTCTTCAGTAGCTTGGGATTGCTCCTGTTGCATTTCTGCACCCCCTCCAAAATTGCTTTCTTGAATTTCCAAGCTTCCAAAAATGTTTTAACTTTCTTGCGAATCCATGGTGTCAGTTTGAGCCTGTGTAATTTCTGGTGTATTTTCTTTTTCTTGAATTACTTTTCGTATAGGCTTCTTGAAACCTGACCGTAATTCCATACAAGAAAAATGTTTAAAAAATATCAATCCTAACTTCCTGTAACTTTAAAAACTCTGGAATTTTTACTGTAACAATAACAATAGATTTCTTGTAATGAAATAATTAATACCACGGCTAACTCAGTTATAAGTAAACTCTTTATCTAGTTATATACTCGCTTCTTCATTATCTCGGTTCTCTTTCATTATGGAGCGGTACACGTATAAAATTTCCTATGGTGGCAAATTTGTAAACTCAAACCCAAAATTTTCTAAGCCTAAAGCGACCACCTATGTAGTATGTATTCGTATGTATTCTCATAGCTGCGAAGACCAGCTAACATGTCCCTAGCCAATTCAGGGTCTCACAGCTGTTCTTATAAACCCTGAGGTGCAGAGATTCTCTTATCCTACAACAAACTAATGCAGAACCCCTAAACATGGCAGGGGAAATAATGCCTCCTGGAGCCTCCAACTCGCCCAGTACTGGTGCCGATAAAGTTATTACCTTTAACGACCCGTGGTCTGAGTTCGATTTCTCCAAACTCTACTCCTGTATTGACAAGTGGCAATCGACCTTTCACCAAAGAAGCCCGGAATCAGAAGTTGACCAAGTGTCGACCACGTACGCCTCAGGAGTCCAACGCAAGGGAGAATGAAATAAAGCATTCCTGTTTCTCATTTATTTATTTACTTATTTATTTATTGATTTATTAATTAATTAATTTATTTATTTATTTATTTATTGTTCCTCTCTTGCTCTGGGCCCTCAACAGGCGTTCACCCCGTTACAGAGTAACACGAATAACGCTTTTTAGCGGTGAAAGCAGTGGTAGATCAAAACCACAGGATTGTTTTATATACGGCAAGTAACAATGGCCATTACTGATTTACACAAAAACACCAAATCCCAATCCCAACAATTACTATATGTTAATGGATGATCAAACGTCTACGGTTGTGACTCGTGGTGAGTCGATTTGTTAATGGTCTTTAAAAAGAATGCGTACCTATAGGAGCTTGTACATGTACTATGGTGGAAACTTACCATTAAAATTTCTTCATTGCCATTTCAGGTATCCCTAAATGATTGTTGTCCAAAAACAGAACTTGTGTACTTGGTCAAGATTCAGGTCTTTTACGGGGTTTTGTTAATTAAATTTATGCAACAAAAAGTAATACTTACTAGAATTGGGTGGAAACTTACGTAGATTGTGAATTCATAGTAGGTAGGTAATCAATAAGAACAACGCATAATTAAACATTAACGTATGATGTGGAAATCCCAAGTCGTGGTTATAAGATCTCTTGCAATTACTTTAATGGAGGTAAGATTAGAAAAGTTAATTAAACCCAGAATTATGTGTTCAGTTATCAGCTAGAATTCGAAATGGAGAGAGTAGTGGCGTTAAATATTAATATATGAACTTGAGTTCTCTCGAAGTTTGGACTTACATTGAATAAATTGCGTTCAATAGATCGCACATTAATATCTACGCAGACCGTCCCCGTTCTTGTTAAATAGATTGAAAAGCAAATATAGATAATGCTTCATGACCCTGTGTGCTGTTAGTAGATGCTCAATTAATATCGAAAACAAGTTGGTCCCCAGTTCATTGTATCTATCAGCGGTGAAATTGTGCCATTTCGAAAACAATTCCGATTTAAATTGAGGGTGAGTTTATTATAAGCTTCCTTTTTTTTAAATTATAAATTACGGTCCTTTTAAAATTTTAAGATTCAAATATGCGGCATATTTTTGAACTATTCTCTATATGAGTTACCTACCGGATTTGGTAATTTTTGCGAAATTTGTAAAGGTTGTCCTCATTTTGTATCAGATATGGTTACTTGTAGGTGAACATAAGTGCCAAATTCAGGTTATTTGCAAACACGTTTTAAATATATGATATTTCTTAATTCATATAATCTCTACACATTCCTCAGCTTTAGCACAATTTCCTAAAATTATGTTCATAACATATAAGTCGGTGTTTCATACTA